AATGCGTCTAGCCAGGAATCAAATCCTACTCGAGCGTAGAAGAAACAAAAAGTTACGACGTCTTCTCAAGGAAATAGTAGCCTACGGCAAACTGAAAGATCAATGGGGCATAGGACACATTAAGATTGTTATAGTTCGATGTAATTCACCATGCTGTTCGAAAAAGAAGAAAGAATACAGATTCCCACATATGAAAATATTCGGATGTTACATCGACATTGATGATAAACCTCAAAAAACGTATTTATCCGACTCTTACAATGAGGCTAAGAGACGCGCCCCCATAGAAAAGACTTTCCTCTACCCTTACGATGACACTAAGTACGCTCATAATAGGTGGTTAAGAAATCGTTCCCGCTCTCTTACAGAGTCACTGGGATAGGCTACCTCCAGAACTACAGTGTTATGTGATCGACTTGGCAACCTGGCAGCACATACTCGATCGCAGGAACAATAAACTATTGAGTCGACTTCACAGAAGAATTTTAGACTATGCCGAACTGAAAAGACAATGGGGTTACGGTCACATACAAATGAAACGAAGGAAATGTAAACCAGGCGATTGTAAAATGATGTATGGAAAAATCCCTTATCACACAGCTTTCTATGGTTATTATGTCAACCTTAGTAACCAGAAAAGGAAAGTCTATCTAGGATTCAGTTTTAGAAACGTGTTTTTACGCTTAGAGGGTAAAAAAGCGTCCCTGTTCGGTCCTTTTGAATGATTGGTTGTTGTAAAAATAAAAAAGAGATGTTTGTGACATTGTCTCATTTTTGTACTCATGTCTTCACAGAACAGACGGTCCCACGACGAAGCCTTCTCCGACGATGATGATGACGATGACTGGATCTTTGAACCGGCTCTCGACCGAGTGATGATCCAAGCCGGTGGTGGTGGTAGCAATACAAGACCACTCCTAGAATTCGAATTAAGACCCGTAGGCGTTCGCCGTAACTGGAGAAACGTACTCAACAAACAGCGATTCGAAGCCACGCTCAGACAACATAGAGATGTCACTCCCAGGGACAATCTAGGCCAAGAATTGACTCATGCCCTTCAACGATCCATCGAGCAACAAATCGCTCAGGATCCTACCCTGACACCCAACTCCNCTCCTAGAATTCGAATTAAGACCCGTAGGCGCTCGCCGTAACTGGCGAAACGTCCTCAACAAACAAAGATTCGAAGCCACGCTCAAACAACATAGAGATGTCACTCCCAGGGACAACCTAGGCCAAGAATTGACTCATGCCCTTCAACGATCCATCGAGCAACAAATCGCTCAGGATCCTACCCTGACACCCAACTCCACGGTCCATTTCACCATGCAGTCCAGTGCCTTCATGCACGCTTTTCAATCGACCACTTTCACCGTACGTGAATTCGAAGGGAGTGAAAGACTAGATACTTATCTCCAGTCTCTCGCGGCCAAACTCAACTCCAACGAAGAATTCACCCCCCACGACACGTTTACCATGGAAACTACTTTCATACGCACCCCAGGTCCAGGGCGTGGGAACGGAAAACGATACAAACCGAGCTGTGCGGCCGTACGTGGAATCATCAAACGGTCGCACGTGACCATCAAAAACAAAGAAATCTATGCTGTGCTCACGCTATCGTCACTATGAAAGCCCTGACAGATGCTGACGGGAATTCACGAGACCAAGATTACCACAATTTCAAACAGGGGTGACCTGTCCAAGAGCGATTGGCCAAAGAACTCCACCGTCTAGCCAATGTCCCCGAAGGACCTTGCGGCATCCCCGAGTTGCAGCAGTTTCAGACCGCATTACCTGGGTACCAACTAAAGGTCCTTTCCATTGATCTGCCGGACATGCTCATCTATGCGGACCCGTACCCTCAGACAAGATCATTTGCCTCGTCAAAGACAGTCACTACGACGGATGTAACTCGTTTAACGGGTTCCTCAACAAATCCTACTTCTGTGACGAATGCAATCGAGGATACGATCACGACGACTTTCAACATCATCCCTGTGATGGTAAATGGTGTCCCGCCTGCAAACGAAAGGACTGCCCCGATTTCCTTCAAGCCAAACGACCCCTAGCACGTGGCAAGTTTCCCACACCCACCTCGATCTGCCGGTTGTGCCACAGAAAATTCTTCGGAGACCAATGCTACAACTACCACCTGCAACGGCAGAGCCTCAACATCCCATCTATCTGCGACACTTACAAAAAGTGTCCAGACTGTTGCCACGTCTACGAACTGAAGGATAGGAAGAGGCAAGGAGGTGCNGATTCGAAGCCACGCTCAAACAACATAGAGATGTTTCTCCCAGGGACAACCTAGGTCAAGAATTGACTCATGCCCTTCAACGATCCATCGAGCAACAAATCGCTCAGGATCCTACCCTGAAACCCAACTCCACGGTCCATTTCACCATGCAGTCCAGTGCCTTCACGCACGCTTTTCAATCCAACACTTTCACCGTGCGAGAATTCGAAGAAGGGAGTGAAAGACTAGACACTTATCTCCAGTCTCTCGCGGCCAAACTCAACTCCAACGAAGAATTCACCCCCGATGACACTTTTACAATGGAAACCACTTTCATACGCACCCCAGGCCCGGGGCGTGGTCACGGAAAACGATACAAACCTAGCTGTGCGGCCGTACGGGGAATCGTCAAACGTCAAAAACAAAGACAATCTCTGCTGCGCTCGCGCTATGGTCACCATGAAAGTCCTGGTAAACACGAACTGGAATTCACGAGACCAAGATTATCACAATCTCAAACAGGGGCGACCCGTACAAGAGCGATTGGCCAAAGAACTCCACCGTCTAGCCAACGTCCCCGAAGGACCTTGCGGTCTTCCCGAGTTGCAGCAGTTTCAGGCTGCGTTACCTGGGTACCAACTAAAGGTCCTTTCCATCGATCCACCGCACATGCTCATCTACGCGGGACCCGTACCCTCGGACAAGATCATTCGCCTCGTCAAAGAAGACAGTCACT